TAAAAATTCTTAAAAAAAATTCTTCACCACCCCCTCCCCCACTCCCTACCCTGTGCTGGAAATGGAATATAGGGAGGGCCTCACATGTGCTCGTGGAAGTACGCTATCACTGAGCTATCCCACCAGCATAAACACTGTTTTTAATGACTATACAATATTTCATCAGTTTTACTTTTTAATTATTAAAAATATTTAGGGCCAGGGATACAGCTCAGCAGTACAGCATCTGCCTAGCAAGCAGAAGACCTTGAGTTCAATTCCAGGTACAAAAGGAAAATAAATCTATTGGTTTTGCTATTTGTGCTGAGAATTGAACCCAGTGCCTTTGTACCAAACTACATCTCATCTGCCTTTTTTTTTTTTTTTTTGAGACAGGGTCTTGCTGTGTAGACTAGGCTGGCTTTCAATTGAAGGTGATCCTCTTGCCTCAGCCTTCCAAAGGCTAGGATTACAGGCAATGCCACCACACCCCTCCTGTCTAAAACAGGCACTTGGCTAAATTGTCCAGGCTCAGTTCAGAATTTGCAATCCTCCTGCCTTAGCCAACTAAGAGCTGGTATTATAGACATACGCCTTAATCCATATTCGCCATATTTATTCAGAACTTTATCCCCTTAAGACATATCCCTAAAAGTAGTTCCAGGGTCAAAAAATTTAAGCAGTTTTAAGGATTTTACTTAGGGCCAGGGATACAGCTCAGTGGCATGGCACCTATTTGGCAAGTGTGAGGTCCTAAGTTTTATTCCCAGTTCTAAGAAATTCACTTTGTTGCTTTCAAGAAAGAATGAATCAAGCTGGGTATAGTGGTGCATAACTGTAATGACAGCACTCTGGGAGGCCAAGGCAGGAGTATCAGAAGCTGAAGCTCTGCCTGGGCAACTTAATTAGACCCTGTGTCAAAATAAAAAAAAAATGTTTTAAAATAGCTAAGGATGTAGCTCAGGGCAAAAGCCCTGGCTTTAATCTCCCATTCCATAAAAATAAAATAAAATAAAAAACAGTATCCTTCTCAGAATAGAAAGAATGATCTTGAAGACAGTAGAGCCCTAGGAACTAGACTGAAATTCTAAAAGAAAAGTGTCTTCCTTACTGCCAAAAGGTAGCCATCATCTAGAAAAATGCTACTGTTAGAACAGCAGTGCTGAATCATAAGGCTATGACAGTCTGGGTTAAAGGAGGCAAAATTGCATCATCCTCAGATCTCCTGGGGTTCCTGGCTCCCTTTCCCACCTACAGTTATCATTTCGAACTGCATCGTGCAGAAAGGCACGGAGCATTGCCGGCTAGGACACACATAGTGCTCAGAGCTGGGCAGCCAGGCAGCTGATGAGATTAATGTGAAGGAGGCAGCCAAGCGTCGAGGACATGCAGAGCGCAGGGGAAGGCTGAAAGTAATGTCATTTCCCCCTTTTCAGTTCTGCTTCAGTGGCCTCCAAAGGAACCTGGCAAGCTCAGTCAAAGAGGACACAAAACAGATTCAGGGATGGGAAATAAGGTCAAGGACAAGAAAAAAAGGATATAGTGATAACACAACAGAGAAAATGAGCAGCCAAGAAGACTGACAAGCCTATAGTTTGCAGGATTTTTAGAAAAAGGCAATCATTACCCTGAAGATATTCTCAACTCAAAGGTCATCTCTGGGCATGTGAGAACTAGTTCTTCTGTAGGTAGTATTGGAGACTGAATCTACAGCCTTCCCATTGACCTAGCAGCCTAAACCATTAAAAAAACCTTTTTTTTCCCCAGGTGTGGGTGGCCATGCACTCCTTGTAATCCCAACACTTAGGACGATAAGGCAGGAGGATCACAGCAAGTTAGAAGCCTACCTGGGGTATGTAGTCAGCTTAAAACCAGCCTAGCTAGGCATAGTGGCACATGCCTGTAATCGTAAGCTGGGGCAAGAGGATAGTTGTGAGCTCAAGGCCAGCCTGAGCTGGCCTTGAGACAAGGTCTCAAAGAGACAAAAAAAAAAAAAGGTCTATTCTACACAATGAGTTCAAGGCCAGCCTGATCCCCTTACCTGAGCCTGTCAAATGCTAGGCCTACAGATATACACCAGAACACCTGACTCATTGAACCTATATTTTTCTTTTCATAGAACTTCATCCCAGGGGCTAGAACTATAACTGTGGTGAAGCCCTTGCCCAGCATGTGTGAAGCTCTAGGCTTAATCCCCAGCTCTGGGAAAAGAAAAATAAAAGAATTCCATCCTAACATATTTTAGACTTTATTTTATTTTATTTATTTTTTTTTTAGTGGAACCGGGGATTGAACTCAGGCCCTTGCGCTTGCCAGGGAAGCGCTTATTCTTACTGAGCTATCTCCCCGGCCCTTCATCTAAATTTAAATTAAATTTTTTTGTAAATTTCTTTGACCAGAAGACTTCTAAGTTAAAAATAAAACTTGCAGATGGAGAAACATTTTCATCAGTTGTATACTAATAATAATTTTTTAAAATCTCTATTTATTTGGTACAGGGTCTTGCTACACAGCTTGGACTCGGAGTGATCCTCCTGTGTCAGCCTTCCCAGTGCCAGGATTATAGGCATGCACTACCACACCCAATTTTAGTGGTCTAAATGGATTACCCAGGGTTCTGGGGGCTGGCACAACATGCAGTACAGGGGATCAAATCCAGGTCCTTACACTTGCCAGGCAGGCATTATAATTTTTTTTTTTAAAGACAGACCTCTTGGGGCTGGAGAGATGGCTCAGTGGTCTAAAGCACCTACTTGAAACAAGCTTGGCAAAGCACAGGGACCGCGGTTCGATCCCCAGCACC